GACTCTGGGGGCTTACACCAAAGACAGTATACTAAATAGCGTATTGCCCCCAACAATCTGGGTCCTCATTTTACCCACCTCAGAAGGATGGAAGGCTGAGTCAACCTTGAGCCAGTGAAATTTGATCCGCTGATCTGCTGAACTAGCAGTCAGCTGAAGTAGCTGCAATACTGCACTCTAACCACTGTGCCACCTTGGCTCTTTTCCGATCTGAAACGTTCATAGGAATATAGACTGGGAAGAAGATTGGAAGGAGTGTTGGAGATCTTGTAGTCCTTGCTCAGTGTAGAGATATTGTAATCCTTAACTTTGTCTACTGAATGTACTATTAAACAATAAAGACCAGTAGATAGAAATTGAATGAACAGTATGAAGAGGTCTGCAGGTAACTTCTGTATTCTTTTGATGGCCTTTGAAAATGAATGAGCGGATAATAAAGGATGAAAAGGATAAAAAAAGAGGAAAGTTCTGATCTCATCTCTTGGAATTTCCAAGCAACCTAATATGAAATGCCCATTTATTGTTACTAGTATGATCTCTATCTTTAATAAGTTGTAGATTTTTTTTAGAATTGCAGAAAATATATTTCAATGTCATGAAGCTGAATGGAATATAAGAAACAAATTTCTTAGAGCAGAGTTAATGTACATATTGCTACCCTATCCATAGGCTATCTGGAGTGTATATCTTAAGTGACTTTTCCTAGTGACTTGCTCAGTGTGAACATTCTAGTTCTGTGTGATAAATATTGCAATACACTCATAATTGAGTGTAGCCTTCCCATGCTACTCTTTCTTGTTTTTTCAGTGTACAGCACTGATATCTATGGCATATACATGAGATGTGCAATATGGGAGCCATAAATATGAACCAGCCCCTAGATGCAACTAATTAATGTACAAAAACCCATACGAAGAGCTCAACACATTTTGCATAGCAGACCCCATCCCCCATCCCCACTAGGAATATCCATAGAGGAGGGAAATAAAAAAGTCAATATGGTGATCACAACTACAGGTACTCCTAGGTTAATGACAGTAATTGGGACTGGGAACTCTTTTGCTAAATGACATGACTACATCATGTGATCACCATTGCAACCCCCTGTGAGCTTCTCCATTGACTTTGCTTGTTAGAAACTGGCAGGGAATGCCGATCACATGAATGAAGGATGCTGCAACTGTCATAATTGTGAGGCAATTGCCAAGCATCTAAATCATAATCATGTGATTGCAGTGACCGCAACTCCGAGGACCTGTGTAAATTTCCTTGTTTAAGGCTGTCATAGCTTTGAACAGCTGCTAAATGAATGGTCATTAACCAAGGACTACTTGTATGTAATCAAAGCCATGTCCTGATTTAGCCACCATCTTGAAGTTTTGACTGTTCTTTGCAGATAATTCTGATCACATTTATATCTTATTGTAAGTCCAGCAATCAAAAGGATTATTCTGAACCTTTTGAAATTGATTTAGATGCAGATTTGACATCTAAAGGTAACTGAGGCAGATGGCTCAGTTACCCTGCTAATTGCTGAAAATAGGAAAGACAGAGTACTGTGATGTTGTTATACTCCTGGATGCCTTGGCAGATCATTATACTTTATAACATTAACTATAATTGGGTAGTGTTGGGCTTTAAGGTTTAGTGAATGTGGGCTAGATAGCAGATTGCAGACCACGGTACCTCTGAAACCGCTGGCCATTGTTGCCAGCGAAACATCAGGAAAACTGTGGTTAGACCATAGTCACTAAAGCCTGAAGCTAAACACATACTAGCCATAAAAGCCTATACCAGTGTTGGCAAACCTTTTTGGCACCGAGTGCTGAAATGGGAGCACACATGCGGAGGAGCGCCAGAAACCGGAAGAGTAACTCCTTGGTACACACGCATGGGAGTGCCAGAAACCGGAAGAGCAGTTCCCCGGTATGCATGCACGTGCTGGGAAGATGAGCTTCCGGTTTCCAGTGTGCGCATGTGTACCGGTCACTTGGTCTTCTGGTTTCTGGTGCTTGCGAAGACCACCTGGCTGGCACACATGTGTGCGCCGAAAACCAGAAGCTCAGCTTCCCGGCACACACATGCACACCAGGAAGCTGCTCTTACAGTTTCTGGCATTCTTGCATGCATGAAGACCACCTGGCTGGCACGCATGTGCATGCCGGACCCAGAAGAACAACGGGCGATAACTGGCATGCCTGGAGAGATGGCTCTGTGTGCCACTTCTGGCACGCGTACCATAGGTTCACCATCACTGGCCTTTACCAATATATTGACTCTAACTTCTTATTCAACAACATGAGGAGAGTTAAGTGTTCTCTGCTGGCTGGTTATCCTCTGAGTCCAATTCAGGATGCTCATGATAATGTTTAAAGCCTTAAAAAACTTATAGACTCAACCACTTACAATCTGTCTCCCTCTTGAAGACTATTTTGCTGCTGCTGTTTCCTTGGCTCAGTTGTAATCCTCTCTTAAAGAAGTGATGTATAGTTCTCCAGATATCCCAAGAATTCCCACAGAGATATTAAGAATAATAACCCCTGTTTTTCTTTTATGAAGTTGACACCTCACAAAATAAACTTTTTGGGAGGGAGGGGGTCAGCATTTGTCCTGTCTGAAATCCTCCCCACAATCTACAATATATTTCCATCTTGTTTCTTTTCAATATTACACTGAATGAAGATTTTACTTATGAAGGCCTATCTGAAAGAAACAGACAAAAATATTCATCAAAAGTTCTGGTTCATTCTTCTATTGATCATTTATCTTTGTTATTCCACGTCTATTTCTTATTTGAAATGGACCATATAAACCTTCACATTTTTCCCCTCTGAAGAAAAAGTAAGTCTAGTAAATAGAACAAACATTTGCCCAAACTCTCAACATCTCAGCTATTTTAAAAAAAAATCTTTAAAATTCTAAAAAAAATACTTTTGTTTTATTTGCCAAATGGCAAATGCAAGAACTTCTTTACATGAACAACTATAGTATCAACTCAGCATATAGCATAGATATATTTTTAATCTTATATCCTCAACATCCTTTGTAATTATACCCCCAAATCTAGCATGAATTATTAAGGTGCAGAAGTGTCATGATTTATTCACTGTACTCTGAAATAACTTTCAACCAAGTCTTCCATAATTCTAGTCAACTATTGTTTCACTAAGTACCTAGATATGTCCCACAAGTGGGATTCTACCATAGCTAATTAATTTGTGTTGTTTTCTACTGTTTACCCTCTTCTGTCCCATATCCTATAATAGACATAGCATTATTGAATTTTTAATTTTAGAATTTCTAGATGAGATTCCGGGGGCTGTATTTTCAGCCTTTAGGTTCTCGTTGAGCCTTGTCCCCACACCCAATAGAACGGGCATTCAGGTAAGCCAACGCCCTTTCTAAGGCACTTTCTATTAGACTATCCAAAATGCAATTTCAGAAAAGTCACTATTTTAATATTAGGGCATACTTGGATTTGAACAAGTTTGCACTGAAATGAATGGAGGTAGCCCATAGGAATACTTGACAACTGTGTATTTTGTAAATGGTGTACGTTATATTTGATTTATGGAGAAAATTATTCCCTTCATGTTTAATCTCAAGCTTTTTCAATCATGGCAAATTCCTTGTATTTCTAACTTTTCCATTTAGAAAGTATACTGCATATTAAAAAGTTTACATATAGGCAACAAATGTCACACAGCTCAATTTCTTTGTGGATAAATGGTGCACTTATGATTTGTTTAGATTTTTAAAATATGTCTAAGTAGGAAACTTTTGAAATGTCCTTCGAAATTTCTTTGAGAATAAGAGATCCACTCAGACTAAACCTGTCTTGATTATCCTCATGCTTGACTAATATGTTACATGCAGATAAACTGCCCTGACCATTAATTCATTAATAACTTGATTTTTGTACATTACTTCATATTTTCCTGAAACTCGAGTTGTTCAAAACTGAAAAAAAGTCATTGCAAAGCATGTCAACCTTCAAGAAGTAGATATCAATGTGATCTTTTATCTGAAATGTAAGCTTCGTTTAGCCTGTCGCTGTTTTCTTGCTAGTTTATTTTCTGAAATAATAAATGTGAAAGGAATAGAATCAACACCGAGACTTGTACTGTATTATTAGCTAGCAGCAGAATATGCAGTCTTTCAAAGTATCCTTAAACCTTTAAAATGTATTTGTGTACATTGAAAAGCTGTTCTCTGAATTGTGTCTTTAATGTGCACTGCAGTTAAACTACTTGTTTTCTCTCTGCCTGCTCTTTGAAGATGCCAATTAGGAATAATGGGAAACAAGGGGTAGGCTAAGCATTGCAGTGCATTCTTGTTTACATCTGTGTGTGATTATTTCAGTGTAATGTTTTAAACCCTTTTGGCCCATTCATGCTCTCAATGACATTAATGAGGTTTTGCCATTAGCTTTAATGGGAACAAGACTGGGCTTTGCACTTTTCTTTTCTGTTGTGTTCATTGCATTCTTTCTTGTTTGTGAACTGACCAGCCACTCATGCATGTGTTTGCCAGGTACGTTTATTTGTGCTGTTCCATGAGGGGCTTCTTTCTCCTTATGTTTCAGGTTAAGTATTGGCAGTATGAAATAAAATAAGGGAGGAAAAGGGGGATTTGGGGTAAAACGGTTGGTTTGAGGCATTCACATCTTGTCTGAAATAAATAACTTACATTAAGTTGTTCAAGATTTGCTTAAAGTAGTTATTAAATCAAACCATATCAAGTGTAGACTTAAGTTAACTTGTTCAATGTGATTTTTCCAGGAAGAATTTTCTTTCTAAAACTTAGAATTATGGTCTCATCCCTCCCCTCCCCAAATAATGGGATATTGAAGGAAAATAGTTTTTTGCCCAATAGCAAGAAAAGGTCACCAACTCACAGAATACCTAGTTACCCTTTTGTTATAAAGAGCTTAGTGGTAAAAACTAGCACTATAAACTAGGGGGAAAGGCTAGTGATTGATTTATTTTTTAATTTAACAGGCTCACGAAGCTGAGGAAGAAGCTCGGAAGAATCCCGAATTTGCTGATCGATTGAAGCAGCTTGACAAAGAGGCTGCCTACTATCGAGAGGAATGTGGCAAAACCCAAGCCGAGGTGGACAGGCTCCTAGAAATCCTCAAAGAAGTAGAGAATGAAAAAAATGACAAAGATAAGAAAATTGCTGAGCTGGAAAGGTACACTTCTTATTGTCTGTGTTTTCTCATAAATACATTCTATATCCCTGCTTGATGAAAAGAAATAGCAAAATGTATCACGGTAGTAGGCAAATGAAATAGAACAGCACCATACGTGATACGACAGGGTTTTTAGAAAAATATGGTTCTGTGTAAATCGTTTGTCCAAATGCTTTTGAAGATTCAGTACGATAATAAAGTCTCAGCTCCTTTATAGAGAAAGTTTGCCTTACCAACCGAACCAGGGGGTGGCTGGGGTGGGGAGACTGCATTAACTTTTTTTTTTTTTTTTTTTTTGCAAAATTGAAGGAGAAGATAGTGTAATAGGATAAAAAAAATGAAAATAACATGGACATCAGACTTTGCTGAAAGAAACTGGGATGTAATAAGAATAAAGTAAAACTAAATAAAAAAAATAAAAATAGAAATGGTACACTAAAAGGTTATGAATGTAAAATTATTTAGAAGTTAACATTTGTACTTAGAACAAAGTAGTGTAACACTTGATAACTTGAAAAGTTGACTTTTGCATCAAAGGATTGTGTTATGATTGTGTCAATGAGGCCTTGTTAAATCAACATAATCCACATCTGTGTTAACAAAAGCACACCAGTACACAAATAAAATTAGATTGTATAAAAAGTATGATTGGGAACATTTATTTATTTGCATATAATAAACAAATATACACATCTTGCTAATAATTGTCTTACAACTAGTTATTGCCACAGTATTAAAAACTCAAATTTCTAGCATCAAAATGGTCTAGATGTTGCAACTAAAACTAGATGTTTCAACTAATCTTGGAAAACAAGGAGTGCTCAGCTATAACAAAAAAACAAGGTTTAGCATAATGTTTTCCAGAATCAATGAATAAAGAGCTAGGGTTGTTTTCCATTCCTTTTTCCATATTTTTTTTACATCCCCCGTTTCTTCCCAGCATTCCAATTTAATTTTGTTCAATTTTTTCACTGTTTAAAAATAAAAACTTAAAAAACAGAGTAAGAAATGTACACATTACTATGATATTTAATTTATAAATGGTCCTTACAAATGGCTTTTCTTTTTCTTGTGTTTAATGCGCACTTGGTTACCAGATTTGATCTCTGTATTTTTGGAATTAACCAGATTTACTGTCTCCCATCTTTATACCAGTAGTCTTTGATTTATGACTACAATAGAACCCAAAATATCTGTTGTTAAGTGAGACATTTGTTAAGTGAATTTTGCCCCATTTTATGACCTTCCTGCCACAGTTGTTAAGTGAATCACTGCAGTTGTTAAGTTAGCAACATGGTTGTTAAGGGAATCTGGCTTCTCCATTGATTTTGCTTGTCAGAAGATCACAAAAGATAGATCACATGACTCATGGGGATGCTGCAACAGTTGTTAAGTGTGAAAAATGGTCATAACTCATTTTTTCAGTCCCATTACAATTTGAGAGGTCACTAAATGAACTGCTGTAAATCAAGGACTATGTCAAGTAACACCCCCAAGGAAGGAAAACTCCAAGGCTTGAGTTTTCTCAAAGTTCCATTTTTTTCATTGGATCTTCAGGCCTGTCAGACTACCTGTGGTGTCTTCCATTAATAGACTAAGGTTCTCCCCACAAGACCATTTTAAAGCTTCTCCACAGTGCCTAAATCAGCCTCTTCATTGGCTGCCAAATTGATTAGTATCTGCTGACATACATGAACAATCTACTAGTGACCTGTACATTAAGTCACATCAGGCAAAACAGTCAGAGTTCTGTTTCATGTATTGGTGATGGTGACTTTGATGGGGCAGGAAGATGCAGGTTTCACTCCCACGTAAGTTGTGGGACTGCCCTTCCCGCCAGCTGTGGCACTCACTGCCAACTAGCTGTGTGTGTAAAAGATGCTTCAGGGTAGGTAATATATTAGAGTTCAAAGGCAGTACACATAAGAGAAAGAAAAGATAACATTTAATTTCTTTTTATAAGCATAAAAGGAAAGAGATTAAGGCATTCTGTTTGGATATTTTAAAAGACTTCAAAAAGAAAGGGGAAAAAGTATTTTTCTGGAATCTGTCCAAACATTCATTTGGAAAATTAAGAAGTTTGGGAAAGGATGTGTATGCTAAAATTCAATGCCATGTTTTTTAGGCTAGGAGATTATTGCTGGATTCATCTATAGAGTCTCTTACTGCTTCAAAATCTCTAATCTTGTGCATCTAGTTATTTAATTTTTAAATATTACTCTTGTTTCTAAAGCATACTTCCAAACCTTGGATATGTACAAAAGTTGCAGATGTTTTAATACTTTTTTTTAAACCATGGAGGTTCATGTAAAGAAGTGAAAATATTGTCTTCTGCTCCAAAGTATTAATGCCTTACTGTGTAGGATCTCCTGTGTAGATCTTCTTGTTTCATTTTTGTTCTTTCCTTGGAGAAAGGAAAGTGATATTTACATTGAATGGAGAATTATAGTATAGTAACACCTTGATTTAATGGACCATTCATTGGGAATGGAAGGCAAACTCATGCTTTTTGAGGCAATTTGCCTTAGGTGAATTATGACATCCCTACAGAAATGACATAAATAGATGCAAATGATGTAGATCTCATTCAACTGAAAGTAAATTGAAATGGCTGGTCTGGATTTCTTCATAGGCGACAGACTTGTTCATTTTTTTCATGGTTGTATCCAAACAGATGATTTGTCCATTGCATCTGAAGTCAGTTAAAAGGGTGATCAATTAAATCAAGATTTTATTGGAATTCAGAGATCTTACAGATTAAATTATCCTTTAAATTGCTTTCTTAACTCTTGTACAATTTTTAATTTTTTTTTTGATAAAGAGATAAAATAATGTTTAGGTTTGCTACAGTATATGCATGTGTGTGTGTTTGAGAGCTTTCTCCAAGTAATTACAGCTACATCAAATTCATTCTGACATCATTGTAGGAGATCACTAGAATTGTCTTTTCTTGCATGTATATCAGGTTGTTCTTAGACCAGGGGTGGGCAAATGTGGCCAAGCTGTCTCAGGAATTCTGGGAGTTGAAGTCCACAGGTTGTAAAAGGGCCACATTTGCCCACCCATGTTTTAGACTCTGTTATCATGACAAACGTGAACTAGCTGTCTATTAGAGAAGAAGTGGGAATTACGAATTACTCCAGCTAAGAGGAAAATATCACAGTATTGTAGTTTTATGATTTCAATTAAATAGGAGAAAATATTTTGATGAATTTGTTTTCTCTATTCCTCATTATTGGAATGTCAAGTAATTTTCAAAATGTAGTTTATTGGTTTATTTTAGTATAACGTTTATTTTCAGAATGAAAAAGGGTAATGGGAGACAGGAGAGAGCGGCAGAAAAACATCCAAAGCACTGAAAATAGGCATGGTTTTTCTTCTTCTCTTGCATCACTTAAAACATTTCACTGAAATTAAATGGAGTTAAGGCAGAATTGATAGGAGCAAGTGCTTTTTTCACATAGTGCATCATTACAATGAAAATGTTGTATTACAACATTTTGTATTACATGTTGTATTACAACATTTTGCATCATTACAATGACAATGAGTCTTCGGAGGGGGCGGCATATAAATTGAATTAATTAAATTAAATTAAATTAAATGTTTAAGAATTATTTAAAAAGTATTCTTACTGAGAATCAAGACATCTACTCTCTTCTTTTCATTTTTTTTCTTCCCCTGGGCTGGCAAGGTTGTTGGTGAGGCTTTTTACCAATATTAGCCTTTTTTGGGACTGATATGCTCCTCAAACTTCCTTTACTGTATAAACATATCAATATTCTGTATTTAATGTAAAGTAATATACACAATTACTTTAATGTAAAGTAATATACACAATCATCAGATGATGACTAAACCTGACTCCTTTGTCCCTTTAAGTCAGGCATTCTAATTCTAGCAGAAGAATGAAAATCTTAAAGAATGGAGCATTTCTTCAAGGGCTGCGATAGGTGTAATTTGCAGAGGTTGTAAAGCTCATTGGCTGTTGTTTGCTCATATTTGATATAAAATCTGTGTGGTTTCAGTATGCAGACTTTCATTAATATGATCGGTTGAAAGGGTTATAGTTGAACTACTACCAGATAGTTCTGCTAAAGGAAAACTAGGAAATTAAGAATAAGAAGTAAAGAAACCAGCATACCTGATAGGTATTTAATGGTTTCTGACGTTCCCCCATCTTTTTTAAAATAGTAAATATATCATCTTTTGCAAAGTAGTACAGGAATGTGCACCTGTGATGTCTCTGGGGATTATTTTACTTTGGCCTTAGATAAGAGTTTGTATATTGCTTTGACTAATTGAAAGGACATGTTAAATATTTTTGCAGAAAATAAGTTATCAGGCATCTGGATATTCTCAGAGATGAAGTATTAGTCTTATTCTTGGGTCTGAAAAAGATTGCTCTCAGCTTTAGCAAGAACTGTATTTCCATAAGAAAAAGAGTGTCTTTGATCAGTGTAAGTGATCAGTACTCGGGAATCACCAACATAAGAATTCTTTGAACATGTAGCCAAGCCATTTAACTTCCTTTATTTTTCATGGGTGAAGATGACTTGCTCATATGAGTCATCCGAAATCCAAGTCGGTCTGCATAAGGCCTTCCAAGAAAGAATGCATCCTGCCAACCACCTGGCCTTGTAGTTGCCACCATCTTCATTGTGGTTTCCTGGACAGGGAGTGTGTCTGAGGCAGATTTTTTCATAGTAGAAAAGCTATTGCTTTTTTTTTAAAATAGTCTTTATTTACATTTGTAGTTAAAAAGAAGACAAAAACCAAACAAAAGGAAGAACAGAACGACAAAACAAAAAACATAAGAGAATATAAACAATACCTTAATAAGCTAATATTTAACATAAACCTATACAATAGATTCATAATACAATCCGGGGGAGACAGAACAACCTATTTTGAGTTTTTATATCAATCAGGTCTATCCGACCTCACTTTAAAGTATTTTCAATATATACAACGCCTATTTATATTATATTAATCTGATT